AGAGAGAGAGAGAGAGAGAGAGAGAGAGAGAGAGAGAGAGAGAGAGAGAGAACAATAAACAACATGCGTCCATATGCGCGCTTTCTTATTTTCAAAAAGAGAAAGATACTCACTAGTCCCTTCCCTCCTCCGTCCATGTCCGCTTTATCTTTATTACTGCAGCATTATTTATTAACAACACCAATGGTCGGGGGGGAACAGCCGCTCCCAATGACAGCGCGATGTTATTTGCAAATGACACAACCGATGCTGGTGAAGACAAATCAAGAGCTCGAACCTCCACAGCGGCACCCTTATGCTTCCGCTGAATCTCCTCTGCAGCCTGACACCCACCCAAACAAACAACCAAACAAATGCATCACTTCTATCAAACAATAACCAAATGCTGCTCAAGCGCCACTGATGGAGCACAAATTCGCAGTGGTTAACCGTGGGCGTAAACCGTCCGTCATCAAGTACTGAGTTTACAGACCATTACCACGCATCTATCTAAATTTATATTAGTTTATAACTAGGTTGTTTTTCCGGGCGCCCGGGCACCCAACTTATGCCCGGGTACACACCGGGTGCCCGGGCGGGCATGAACCCCAGGCAGGGTTCCAGGCAGCCCCAGCGCCAAAAAAAAAAACAAAAAAAAAACAAAAAATTATGGGGAAAATAAAATGTTTTGAAGAGTTGCAATACAAACGCCTTTTGGGTGAGGGTCCAATTGGAATTCCTCACAGAATCGGAGATAAAAAAAGAAAATAACAAAATCACACTAAGGCACCCCCCTCTAAACCCCCTTAGCCCCTTTAAACCCCCGTAGCCCCTTTAAAACGAATTTATATCCCCCTTCCACCCCCTTGACAGCCAACTCGCAAAAAAAGAAATGAGCCCGGATTTGGGGTCCTCTGGGAGAGCGCAGGAAGAAAAAAAAAAAAACTTTAAAAAAAAGAAAAAAGAAAAAAAAGGTATGATGATCATCACACACATCCACATAGTGGAAACCAATTCTCATATGAGCTAACTGAATAGAATGCCAAGTTTGCCAACAACCACATCTCCCAACTCCAATGTGATGCTCTGTGGCTAAGATGCCAGTGCAGAAGAAGGTGGAAGGGTTGAAGAAGGACCATGGCAAGGAAGAAGGGCAAAGGCCTTTCTCTCTCTCTCTCTCTCTCTCTCTCTCTCTCTCTCTCTCTCTCTCCGCCCATCACCCACCAGGAAAGTGTACTGAGGAATCAAAGACACCCATGTGCTGCTGTGAATGTTGTGGTAAACGCTGGCGGACCAGCAAGGTACAGAAAGAGCATGGGAGTCCACAATCTGCAGAAACTTAGTACCTCCAGTCCTCGCTGTGGGGATACACACCCTGCATATCACAGCCAGAAGGAAAACCCCAGAGAAGATGCAGTTAGGGTACAACTGTACAACTTATTGCTACCACTGCATTCGTTTTCCCTTATTCCTTTTTGTGTTTTGCTTTTGGCTTTTTGCTCACAAAGGAAAAACCCCTCATCAGGAAGCCACACCTGTTTTCTGGTGGGCATCAATCCCTCTCCTTGTCCACAGGTAAGTCATCAATACATATGGCGTGACACACTCCGAACACCGTCGGTTGTTGTGGCTGAGGATCGCAGAGTCCCTCCATCTCTTTCAATTCCCAAGGGAGTCCCCCTCTATCTCTCTCAATTCCCACGGGAGTCCCCCTCCATCTCTCCAAATTCCCATGGGAGTCCCTCCATCTCTCAATTCCCATGGGAATCCCTCCATCTACCTTGCGACTCCCATGGGAGTCCCTCCATCTCTCAATCCCCACGGGAGTCTCTCCATCTACCTTGGGACTCCCATGGGAATGCACCCTCCTTGGGACTCCCTCCGTCTCCCTTGGGACTCCCAGGGAGAACACCATCAGTCCCTCCATCTCCCAATTTTCTGCCAATCCATTAGTAGACTAATACTCCCTGGGAATGCACCAACCTCCCACCTCCCACTCCACCTTGACCTTCCTTACCCTTTCTCACACCCCACCTCCCACTCACCATGAGCTTTCTTATCCTTTCTCACATTTGTGCCTCTTGCACATGTGTGTGTGCATTTGAGGGAGCACAGACCTCCCACTGTGTTCAGGGGAGAGACGGTTAACGGTTCAGTGCAATTCGGTGCAAAATTCGTCGAAAATAACACCCCTGGTTAACCGCATGTGGGGTCCCAGCTTGAGGGAGCAGGTTGTCCCAACCTTCAGATCCAAACAAGAAAAGATTGCAGCTCGTCTGCACTGCCGTCTTTACCAGAGTCTTCCGCGTCGGAGTTGACCACGTGTGAAATCACTCGAAAAGTGGTCTTTTATGAGGCAACGTCAACAGAAAACAAAACAAGCGTCTTCCTGATGACAGTGCGGGTGACAAGCGGCCTGAAGGGTTAATGCTGCTAGTAAACCTCCCGACATGCAGGGGAAATCCCTGAGGTTGGGTTATGGGTTGTGGGTGGGGCGCTCAGTAGCAGCCCCCATTTGCTTAGGCGGCTCGTGCCACAAAGGGCAAGGCTGTCTCTCTCTTCTTGTCTATTCTCCCTTATTACTTGTAAACATGCTTGCCGGTGATAAGCAACCGGATTGATGCCCCTGCAATCAGACTCGCCTTCTTCTTCGTTCAGCATGCATGCAAACAGATGGCAATCCAACTGGCGCCAGGCGCCCACACAAAGCTCAGAGATATGAAGGCCGAGAACACAGTTCAGACGCAAACTCGCTTCAAAGTGGCTATGGCGCCTAAGCGCCTACTCATCTCACTTCTGACACTGTATTCACAACAACTGTTCACACGCACACCACACCGGATATCACTGGATACCCCGCACACACTCACCCTGTACCGTACACACACACACACACACACACACACACACACACACACACACACACACACACACACACACACACACACACACTCGCTGGAAACTAACTCTAGGCTATGGCGGCTATGGCCGCCTTCTACCACTATCTACAGGCAGCGATCGCTGCTCTATCTCCCTCGTATCCCACTTCAACTTCGGGCATCTGCAGACCGCCTCACACAAGACACCTGGGCAGCGCTTCCGCATGGCTTACGCAGAATCAATCCCCTGGCTGGACGCTGCCTCTTGATTTATACTTCTGTCGGTCGCTGGTCTGCCCTTTTGGTGGTGCACACAGTCCCACATGGTACTTGCTGATTAGACTAAGAGCGACTGGGACTGGGTACCGCTGACTTGACAAAGTTGGACTCCTACATACCCACTTGCCTCTGGCCTAACATGTAAAACTCTCGAAAGGCCATTTCCAGACCTTCTGGAAGTCTGTGGACTTGGCCTTTCGGGACTGTGGCAGCTACGACCTTCACCTTTCAGGATGGTAGCAGCTACAACCTTGACCTTTCAGAGTTGCAACAACTATGACCCCTACACAGGTATGACCCCTACTCGACAGATCTACGGTTCAAGACCCGACAGCTACACAGACCTATGACAGACAACATTCAGCTACCAAAACACAGGTCACGGGTTCAAAACACACAGGGTTGACTTGATACTGTACACGGGTGAGGTAAGGTCTAGGGATCGAGCCCTGGGATCTGCATCTGTTACTGCAAAGGTGAAAACCGTTTCACCCCCCAAAATAGAAGGGGTTGTGGGTTTTTGTCAAAAAAAAAGAAAAAGAAAAGAAAGAAAGAAGTCGTTCGGGACATCCATTAAAATTGGAATGATACAGAAGATTAGCATGGCCCCTGCACAAGGATGACACGCATAAATCAAGAAATGGTCCAATTTTTGTTTTTCTTAAAGAAAGAAAGAAAGAAAGAAAGAAAGATTACCCACAAAGATAACCCCAGCAGAGCTCAGAGCATCATGATATAAAACCCTGTTTTTTTTACATCATCTGGGAAATTGTGGCGAGGCATTGGTTCGTCGACTTGGTCTCGGACTTAGGAAACAAGAGGCTAACTGGGAAAAGGAAAAGGAAAAAAAAAAGGAAAAAACTGAAAAATTCCACACGACAACTCAGAAAATGAGAGAGAGAAGGGAGAAGAAGAAAGACCTCTACGGATCTTATCCGGACGAAGGCTTTTGTTCGTCTGCGGAATCAGACCGACCATCTTCGCTGCCTGTAAGGGTGGGTTTCCCGAGTCCGACCAGGAAAAAAAAAAAAAAAAAAAAAAAGGATAAAGCACGACTATTCTGCGTAATGCCACGGTCTTGGTCAGACTGCATAATAACGCGGATAAAGCCAAGTTCTTGGTGAAACTGCATAATAATGTGGATGCACACTGACCAAGTATCACATAAAAACCCTTCGCAGCCAGCTCCTCTGCCACCGCCTTGCCTATCCCACTTGATGCCTGAATCATCGAGAACCAACAAAACGACAAACAGTTGCCTTTGTCAAGCTGCTTGTGAGAAGTGCTTTTTTTGGTGAAAACACTGAAAAGATTAATGCAGACAGTTTCATCGGACGTTCACCGACTCATCAGGAGGTTGAAACTAGACAGAGTCTGCCCAGGATGCATTTGACTGACTTGCTTTCTTCTGTTGCCTCCCTTTCACGATGCAGATCGAGGCCCATAGCATTTTAAGGGGTACTCTACATGCTTAACATCGTATGCATCTGAGTCTGTCAGGATTCGGATTGATGATCTGCTTATTATCAGTGACATGTGTGAACCATTCAGCCACATGGGCTGGCCAAACGAAGAGCTTTATGGCTGCCACCATACGGAGTGAATTTCACGCTTCAGTTCCAGGGGGGGAGGGGTCATGGCAGCACGTTGGGGGTTGACAGAGGCTGGGGAAGGGGTCATGGCAGCAAATGGGGTGTTGACGGAGGCTGGGTTGGGTCATGGGAAGATGGGGGCTTGAGAGGATGACTCAGAGAGAGAGAGAGAGAGAGAGAGAGAGAGAGAGAGAGAGAGAGAGAGAGAGAGAGAGACATGGGAATGGAGGGCGATAGGGGAAGCAGAACCCCCTTCTTGTTTTTTGTTTTTTCTTCTTTTTCTTTTTCTTTCTATGACATCCACATTCGGCGGACATGCGATACATGAACCGCACGCAGATGCAGACGTGGACACGGCAGACCGTACACGTGCGATGCTGCTGTGATGCTTTACACTTCCACAACGCTGCTGTCAACGGCTCTGCTAAACTTTCCTTTTTTTCTTTTTTTTTCCTTTTTTTCTTTTTTTTTCCTTTTTTTTCCGGAAAAACAGGTCCTTATGACCCTGGCGCCACATCCATTCTGGGGAGTGTCAGTCCGGTTCCTTTTCCACCGGCTCTAAACACAATGTCCATAAGTTTACAGACTTCAAATCATGAACAAAGGCCCTGCTAAACTTTCCAAATTCCTTATTAAACTATTCTGCCGATTACTCAATGCTGTTCAGGGGTCGTTCGGCCAAATGGAAGGAAGCGTGAGTGTGTAATTGTGGTAAAAATGCGACTTGCCAGTGGGAAAAGAACTGGACTGATGCTCCCCAGAATGCAAATGGAGCCAGGGGGGCATAAGGAGCTCTTTTTTTTGGGGAGGGGAGAGAAAAAAAAAAAAAAAAAAAAAGGCTATTCTGCTGACCAGGGTTACCTGACCGAACGTTTGGGGGCCCCCGGGCTGGCCCCCGAACGTTAGGGCGTTCGGGGGCCGAACACCTCCAGGTTCGGCCCCCGCCAAATTTTTTTTTCGGGGCCTAACAATAAGTTTTTTTTTCTGATGTTTTTTTTGTGAGTTCTCTATGATGTAACCTACACGCCTATAAATTTTGAAGCCATTCTGCTAAGCCAAAAAAACATTAAAAATCGTCAAAGATGGGGGTGTCAAAACGTGTTCGCCCACTCACTATTTTGTTTTTTTTCACTTTTTACTTTTTGTTTTCACTTTATTTCGGGGCCTAAAAAAAATTATTATTTTTTGAAAAACTTTTAACGAGTTATTGATTATGTAAACTACATATCTGTAAATTTTCAGGGCATTTGTCAATTCCAAAAAATAATTAAAAATCGGCAAAGATGGCGGTGTCAAAAAGGTGCTGGCACACTCACTCATTTTTATTCTCTTTTTATTTTATTTTATTTTTATCATAGTGTTTATTTTCTGTATTTGATTTTTAATTCAAATTTGGTAAAGAGTTTGGATGTAGTGCCCAGGCAAATGTTGTTTAGTTTATTTTTCTCCATATCATACTTTGTTTTCGGAATTTTTTGAAAACTTGGTTTTTTTTTTTTTTTTTTTTTTTTTGGTCCGCGTTCGGCCCGAACGGCCGAACGCCTTCCGAAGGGGTCCCGTACGTTCGGGCGTTCGGCCCGTCCCGAACGCCGGCAACCCTGCTGCTGACAGAAATTTCGACATGACAGCTCAGTAAGTGCCTGGCCATGAATGTAATAGCCTGTGGAAAAAAAATAAATAAATAAATGTGTGCATGAGCCTTCTTCGGGAGTTTCACCGAATTTGCATCGACTCCAATGAGTCTATTGAGCAACCCCAAGGTGAGGCGTTCAGACCTCAAAATACGACATGGCGGGAAACAGTTTGGGAATTCCCGTGCGGCAAAGGCCAAAGCTTATCACTGCACCTAGGAACAGATCTGAACAGGAATCGCACTCCCGGTTTAAACCGGGAGCACATGGCCTTAACCTTGCAAGATAAGATCTCGTCATGGCCTACTCCTAAGCTTTCAGAGGCTTGGGGCTAACCCCCCCCCGACCACAATTGATGGCGGTGCCTACCAAAAAGGCACCAAAAAGGAAAAGAAAGTGCGCCGCTGGCGGTTCGGCAAAGCTTGCTGTACGGTCCGGCGTCGCCAGGCCTAGGTGTAAGGTTAGGGTTCAGGGTTTAGGTTCAGGTTAAGGTTAAGGTTTAAGGTTTCGAGGGTTTAATGGTTCAGGCTTTAGGGTTTTCGAGAGGCGGGTACCGTGCGCGGCCTTTAGCGGATTGCCCTCTAATTACTGTCTATCTAATCTACCCTACTCTAGAAATGAAAATCATTCTATCTTTCCTATTCTATAGAGGAGGGGAGGTTGATGAGATGCAGACCTCACAGACTTTTGGATTTACACGATGCAGGCCTCGCTCTTATCGTCGTTCGAATGGAAGCGAGCAGTGATCGCACGTAAAGGCCATGAGGAAAAGTGAAGATATCGTTCAAGCACAGAGAGACAGAGAGAGTCGGGGAGAGAGAGAAAGGAGTGCAGTTGCCTTCTGGCACAATGACACACACATGCAACCCTCACCGAGCAGATCAGGAGTTAAAAAATCCGGTTGGCGCAATATTGTTAGGGCCCTTAGGGGCTACTCCCCCGTTCTTATTGAAAAACGAAGAAGAAGAAGTGCATTGACGAGCTGATTCCAAAAATCGAACATGCGACCTTCCGCTTGGGAGTTGGACGCTCAACCAAACGGCTAAAAGCTGACTCAGGTAAAAGTGAAGCCCCCAAATAAGCACTTTAGCCCACCCCAGCACGGATTTCTCCGCATTCTAATGTACCCAGTTACACTCACACCCCACAGAAGAAGAAGAAGAAGAAGAAGAAGAAGAAGAAGAAGAAGAAGAAGAAGAAGAAGATATAAGAAGAGGAAGGAGATACAAGAAGAAGAAGAAGAAGAAGAAGAAGAAGAAGAGGAAGGAGATACAAGAAGAAGAAGAAAGAAGAAGAAGAAGAAAAATCAAAGAAGAAGAAGAAGAAGAAGAAGAAGATAGAAGAAGAGGAAGAGGAAGAAGAAGAAGATAGAAGAAGAAGAAGAAGAAGAAGAGGATAGAAAGGAAGAAGTATTACCCCTGTGACAATGCAAGAGTAGCTCGGCGAGCAACCTTCGTTCCGCTGCCCCTGGTGTCCCATAGCATCAATGTCACCCTCTTTCGGCTCACATGCTGCATCATCAGTACTTGGGGATCTGCAGCCATCATTTCTTTTGAAGTCGTTCCAAAGCACCATTAAGTGTGACTGAACCAGATACAATGCCCAGATTATCCCCACGTAGAAGAGGTTCAATTTCCGGTAGAACTGTGTGTCCCTCCATGAATGCAACCCATCGCCTGTCGCCATCCTTACGTTTTACATCACCACGCTCGCAACAAGACTCAGCATGCCTGAAGTTTCAAAAACAGGGTGGAGTTACCAAAACTGGAAAAAAGTTCAAAAAACAAATGAGGAGTCCAATGCCGCCAAGGAACCACCGGCACACAAAACTTTTTTTTTTTTTTTTTTTTTGACGCCACTTGCAAACAATTTTTCAAGGAAACCAGCTGTCAACAGTGAAACAAATTGAAATTTCCAAAACGGGCAATTTCCCAAAACGGGTGATTTTCCAAAACGGGCGAATTTCCAAAACGGGCAATTTTGTGAAAACGGTGCGCCTGCAGTCAGCATTGACGGAAATCATGGTGGCGAGCTGATGCCTGAACTTCTTACTTGGGCAATTTTTTATTATTATTATTTTTTTTTTTTTTAAGTCCAGATCGTAGTAGAGGCTGGATGGCTGCTTGGGCAATTTTCCAAGCACAGTTTTTTTTTTTTTTTTGTAATAATTGAAATAGGTCCTAATGGTTCTGGATCTGAATCAATTCCAGGGAGTGCCAGTCTGGTTACTTATCCTCTGGCAAGTTGTAAGAATGCAACACTCACAAACTCACGCTTCCTTCCGTTCGGCGAAAGGGCACCCCTGATGAGCATTGATTCCTCCGGTACCCTCTTCACCCGAATAGAACGCCCGGTCATTACATCTGCATCTAGACTGAAAGTCGCACCAAATGCAGCTACAATGACTGTGCGTTCTATTTGGGTGAAAAGAAGGTAGGCGGAGGATTGACTGTCACCTTCCCTGTCCTTGTCATGACCCTCCCTCTCAGGCTCGGTTAACGACTCCATCTGCCGAATGAATCCATCTTCTGGGGAAAAAACTTGAATAAGGGACCGAAATGCTTGCAATGGTGACATAGTCCTGTCCTCTGACTGTCTCCCTTCTCATCATTGTGGTCCCCACCACCCCCCTAAGTGGGAGCATTGACAGTTGAGTGGCCATGAATGTACATGATTCGGTCCACCATGTTTTGTTTTTTTTTTTTTTCTGTACTACAAATTTTAGATTCCTACTGATGATTGGCCAGATTATTGTCTGTCATTCCAGAGTGGTTCCACTGCTAACTTGTCCCATAGCTGACTTGTGCCATTCCCGACTTGTCCCATTGCTGGGTTATCCCATAGTATGATGACGAATGAATTAAAAAAAAAAAAAAAAAAGATGACCGATGAAWAAGATACACCGGGCAACGCACACTTCATCGCGCATCCAAGTAGAGAAATTGTAAGATGATCGGAATTCTGGAAATCATCCACGTTAAGCACAGATCCAAAACCTTTTTTTTTTTTTCTAAGAGGGCACAGATCCAAAACTAGTATCCACATCCCAAAGCTCTCTCTCTCTCTCTCTCTCTCTCTCTCTCTCTCTCTCTCTCTCTCTCTCTCTCTCTCTCTCTCTCTCTCTCTCTCTCTCTCTCTCGGCCATTCCTCCTGCACTTCATTGTGCATTCTTGGGCAGCCGCAAATTCGATCCATGCAGGACTTGTAAATTAAAAAAAAAAAAAAAAAAAAAAAAAGAATTGCATACACGAGCCGATCGCAGGAATCGAACACGCGACCTCCCACATGCTAAGCGGCACGGTTAATACAACAGGTAATTGTCCGGGATTCCGTATGAAACTTTTACTGACACGTGGCGACCGTGTTTTTTTTTTTTTTTTTTTTTTTTTGCAGGGGCTTATTGCACGGGGCTAGGCCTTCCTCCCGACACCAAAACAGTGTCTTCACATCCCAAAGCTCTCTCTCTCTAGGCGTCTTGCACTTCGCAGTGCACTATGGCCTTGATTGATTGAATTGATTGATTGATTGATTGATTGATTGATTGGTTGATTTGATTGATTGTGGGTCTAGACGTGTTGGTCGAATGATTGGACAACCACCCTGATGACATGTATCAACCAATCAAATCAATCAATTGATTGATTGACTGATTGGAAAAAATAAAGAAAATGAAAAAAAGCATTCAAATTAAAAAAATAATAATAATAATAAATCACATAGGCGACGACAACCTCGACATCATCGTGGTCGCCATCGCCGCTGATGGGCCGCGATCTCCTCATCTCCTCCTCCTCCTCTGTCGTTTTCTCACCTACTCCTTCTCTTCTTATTCAACCACCTCCTCTTCCTCTTCCTCTTCCTCCTCCTCCTCCCTCCTCCTCTCTCCTCCTCCTACACATCCTCCTCGCCTTCGCCCACCTCCTCCTTGTCCTCCTTTCTTCCTCATGCAGGGAGTGCTCGCCTTTCCCCTTGTCCTCCACCTCCTCTTCTCTCGTTCTCTTTGCCATTCTCCTCCTCCTCCTCGCCTTTCTCCTTCCCCTCCTTCTCCTTTCCCTCGCCTTTCTCTTCCTATTTCCCTCGCCCTCCATCTCATTGTCGTCGACCTCGCTTTTATACTCTTCCTCCTCATCATCCTCGCCGTCTATTACTTATTATTTCCCCTGTCCTCCTCCTCCTCCTCCTCCTCCTCCTCCTCCTCTTTCTCCTTCTTCCTCCTCTTTCTCCTTCTTCCTCTCCCTCTTTCTCCTTCCTCTCCTCCTCTTTCTCCTTC